TAGTTGCAGATTTTGCAAGGAGGAAAAAGAGGACAGCGTGCACATACTGTGCCGCTGCCCTTCACTAGTACTCAAGAGGTTCAGATTCTTAGGCTCCATGTTTGTGGAGCCTGAGAACCTGAAAAGATTCAAAATCGGCCATTTGTGCAGCCTGGCAGCAAATGCCGGGCTAAATCAGTATGGTCGTTAAATAACCAGCGGGAGTCGCAGAGGATCATGAGATCTAGGTGACACTAAGGGTCTTGATAGCCCCCCCGCTCATTCTTATTTATCTATCTAACTAGATACGCGGCGCGGTTCCTTCTCGTTTCCGATTCTGAAAGCCCTGGCTTATATACCGTTTTAAGTAAGCGAGGACTCTCCCAATCGAGAACTCAGTTGAGCTTTGCTGATTCCTATTTGTTAATTAGTCGGTCGGGCAACTTGCGAGATCACCAATCGGCGACGATCTCTCGCTTTGTCGCCTCGTCCGATTTTTCGGAGAAGGAAAAAGGGAGAGTGTTGACTTTTCGACAACGCCGCATAGACCCTTCGATATTTATCGAGTGATAAACCTTTTTTATGTAATTGCTCGTGGCGACGGATTTTTACTTGCGCCGGCTATCCTAAATTTTATAGGATGTATTTCTTTGACCCGGAGATAACCGGGTTTATTTGGAAAGTTGCTCGAGATGTTTAGACAATAATAAAAGTTACTGTTCGCTATCGTCTACGAAGGAATTTTTAAGATCATTGCTAGGTTTGGTTTATTGTTTTCAGGCGTCTACACGATTTCTATTTGCGCGCCTATTGCGTCGAAGTCCGAGTCCGTTCGTGTTATTTATTGAGAAAAAAAGGAATGTATTGTATGTCGGGGCGTCACGTTGCAAGAAAAAGGGGCCCGTAGAGTCCCCAGGACGTAACAGTAGATTAGGTCTTGTTTCTGCATCTTCTTGAGAAGATTTCCTTGTATAAGGCGACTGAGCTATATCCTTTTCAGTTTTCATTTCTAAGTTTGTCTTTGCATCACGCAAATCGTCTATTAAATTGCAAAAACTTTTATCTTGAGTACGTGTGCTCACAAAACAATAATCTCGTTTATTCAGTTTTGCAATTCTTTACTGAAAAACATAGATTAGTAATATCCAATGTTTAACAATAATATTGGGTCGGTGAAAAAGTTCTGCAGATTTTTTAATAGATGACACTAGTGTCAGAAAATAATTATCGCGTGTCGTTTAAATGTCAATCTGCCGCATATATTTTGACAAGTCACACTACGCTTGACATTTGGCAGAAGTGTATGTTTTGGTCGGACGTGTTTTGCGTGTACGGCATACAACTAAAAGGGAAGATCAAAAATTGCATTTTTGCCATATTTTGCTGTTTTTATTCCGTAAAGGATATAAAGCAGCGGACGCTAAGCGCGAAATATGCGCCATGTATGGTGCTTCGGCCTTAAGCGCAGACACATGCAAAAGATGGTTTGCTCGCTTCCGTTCCGGAGAATTTAACCTCCCAGATGCACCACGCTCTGGACGGCCAAATTCTGTTGACGACGACCAACTCCTGGCTACAGTGAAGAGTGATCGACACTTAACGACTCGAGAGATTGCGAAGCGTTTCGGCATTCATCATACAACCGTTATGGATCGATTAAAAAAGCTTGGCATGGTGAAAAAGCTTGATGTAT